CACACACACACACACTACCACGTTGCGTTGCTCCAGTGTCGACAAGATTACATGGGCTACGCAGCACCTGGATCGTGGGTGAAAGAAACGAATCAGAGTCACTCCATGGAGATGTGGGGTGACACTCCATGGCAACTGACACATCGTTGCAACCTCGTTCACTGGTCCATCGTGCTTCATCGGTCCATCGGTGCTTTGCCGCGGCAGGTTGAGGGGCTTGCTGATGCGCATGGGGCGAGGTGAACAGGCCAGACATGTCGCAGGTCGCATGTCTGAATGGATGGTCCATTTCTGTCATGTCGCCGACCGGAAAGGAAGAGTTCTATGGCACTTTGGCCCCAAAACCGTGGCCTACACGAGCTGAAAGTGCATCTGGCAGTCTGGCATGGCATCCGTTTTCTCCTTCTTTTCTTCGACTCTTGGCGACGTTTTCAGGCGAACATCTGGTGCGCAGCAAGGTCAGGTTGGTGGTTTTGAGAGGCCTCCCAACATTTGGCGAATAGGAAAGCAGTGAATGTGTATACCCAAAAACTTCAGGACAGTTCGACCAGGGTCTCTATGGCTGTAGGCTTTGGCGCTAGCAGATGAACTGGGTAGATTCTTGTAGCTTTTGGAAAGTTCGGGGCTCGCCCAATCGCACACGGATCTGTAAGAGTGGAGAAGGGAAAAATGATGGTGATGCTTTGATGACGATGGTGATTTTGTTCTGCAAAGTCAACAGGGACATGATGCGTTGCCGACAGTTTGCTCGGGTCAGGTACTCTCTGCAGCTGAGTGTCGTGGTGACTTCTGCCTCAGTACCACATGGGCAGAGCCGAGAATAGCTTCCCCCGGCGCTTCCACCACAGCTGTTGGTCAATTGGATGCCATACGCGCAAATGCCGACACAGTTGCCACCACAACACGACGCATCGCTGCAAATAGCAGGCATGTTCTCATAGCCCCAGCCTGAGGTTGTCAACATGGATTCCTGGTGTAAACAACTGAACTGCACCAATGTTTGTGATACCTAGATGCCAAACAGATCGGCCCCATCTAGTTGGGAAGGGAAGCTAGGGAATCATCCAGTCACATATAGTCATTCTGATTTTTTTGTCAATTCTTTTTTTAAAGCTGTTCTTTTGAACTACCAATTACCAACCATCGGCCACCCCTACCTGCTGTGCCATTGCACGTCTGCCCCGCTTCCTGGGCAGCAGCAATCACCTGCTCAGAGCTGTCCACGGAAAAGATCTGCGAGCCATGGCAGAACATCCTGGTAGGGAGAAGCCCTACTAGGTTGGAGGCCATTGCTACTAGGGTGGAGGCCATCGCTACTAGGTTGGATGCCGAGGCCATCGCTGCTAGGGTTGCGGGCATTGCTACTAGGGTGGAGGCCATCACCACTAAGGTGTTTTGATTTTTCTTTTCTTGTTGTGACCGAGAATTATCATCGTCATGAGTCATGCTGGTTGAACAAGTGTTCAGCCACCATTCAGCTACTGAATAGAGCGTTCTGCTGGCTTGCCAAGTTAGATCTGCGTCCGCGGTTTTTGGTCCTTGCTCGATTCAATACCGTTTAAAGAAAAACATGCCGGAATCAATGGCGTTTCCATCCAAGTATGATGCGGGCTTCCTGCAATTGTTGCCTTCAACCAATTAATGGAAACACGATCGAACCATGATTTTCACCGTGGCAGTGGAGCATGATTTTCGCCGTGCCCGGTCCCATAGCTTGCGCAGCCAACGTCGCATGATTCACCCGGACCGGCCAACTTCCAATTGAACGCCTAGATGCTCGGTCAAACTGGCGAATCACTTGAAATCCCAGTCATAGCAATGATGTCCAAAAAAATCTAGATTTACGGTCTATCCTAATACCTGTAACAGTGGATGATGATGGTTAGTAAAGGCCTTGTTAAAATATAGTGATATTTGTTTACTGACTGTTACAGGTAATAGGACAGACCCAATCTAGATTCATATCATATCCAAACGATTCAAACTTGTGGTTTTGTCGCAAAAAAAAGGATAGCCTCCGGTAATCAAATATGGATGTGACATCACTGTGACATCACTGGTACATCACCAACAACTGGAACATGTCATATTGAAAGCTTTAATTACCGGAGGGTGGATTAAACAAGCATTCAGTTTCTGCAGCGCTCGCAAGTTCACCCTTGGCCACCGACTTTTGCAGCAGCATTCTGTTGGATGAGGCAGGAGCACAGTGGTCTGCACTCGTAACACCCTTGGCTGGGGAAAACCAAAGTGCAATTAAGCACATCAACATCATCGAAGCTGTCATGGCGATAAGCTACGCGATGCACGGTATTGAGAGGGAAAGTGTTGAGAACAAGAATAGCTGCGTGCAAAGCGGGCGGATGTGTCTGGACAAAGGTTCCTGTCATGTGCCAAGTACCCAACCTACAGAGGACATGATTGAAACAATTCTCATATCTGCCAAGCCTTTCCGTTTGTATGTTCACATCAGCTCAATGTGATCTATCATCCCACTTTGCCAAGATCGTTCAAGACATTGCCATCGCTCCTGGTACGTGGTGTGGCGCAGAAACGCAGTGCAATTGAGGCTGTGGCAAAACGGAACTGGGAAGCGAACATCGGCGGCCCACCTAGCGAAGGAAGCGACCGACTCAGGCGAAGGCGAAAGCAGCCTGTGAAACGTGTGTCTCAATCCTCGTTTTTTGGGGGCCCTGGTTCTGGCTTGTTGATCTTGCTTCTTGCACATCATTGGTTGGTATTCAATCATGATCTTGATCTTCATTCATCATGGGTTGGTATTCATCTTGCTTCTTGATCTTGCCTGCTTGCACATCATCTCACACCGGTTGAAAAGGCCTTGCCGCCGCCTTGCCCAGTCCACTCCTCCTGGGCTCGTGGGATCTGAGACGGTCCAACGAGCGGTCCGGACTCACGCACGGTCGGACAGCGACCGGTCCACTGTGTCAACCGATGACAGTGTCATGCAGAGGTGTGATGACAGGGTCATCGCGCAACAGCCATTCTGCGATTCTACACAGCCTCTAATGACACCAACACACCAAAATGACACCATGACACCATGGCATTTGTGGGAGCTCTGGGCTCAGAGCTGGCAACTGTGGTGCAAATCCAGTGCGGGAAGCTTCTGGGAGCTCTGGGCTTGCTGGGAGCTCGCTTGTAGTGCACATGTTGTGCAGCTCTGGTGTGCAGCTCGTTCTTTCGCACGGTGCACGGTGCACGGCGAACGGAACCGTCAGCCATGTGGCCATGTGTCGCGACGGCACGGTCCGTCCTGTGTGTCGGTGGCGATGAAAAGCTGAAAAAAACGGTCCATCAGAGAGCAACCAATTCTTCCAGAAGAGAGAACGAATGACATGTAATGGAGACCTCAGAAGACATGTAATGGAGACCTCAGAAAAGATGTAATGGAGACTCTTGATGAATCACCATCACCTCTCCCAATGGAATTGAAGAACCTCTTCATGGCGGGTTATCAATCAAGAGTCTACATGTATCACAAAATGTCACAGACAATGTCTTGGGGTGATGTCCGACAAAGAAATCTTTGGAAAATGATGAGCGAACGCTCTATATGATGTATTACTATGCTTACTATACGCGGCACCACTGTGCAACTGAAAGAACCAATCCACGGTCTCCTCTTTAGAAGCAAGTATCACAAACTCAAAAAATGCAAGTTCATACACAAATAGAATAACATGAAGTGGTTCAGTACAGTCACTTCGTGACTGCTTGGATGGTGTCAGCATCCATTTCAAGGTCCTTTCATGCATAATTAATGAAGTTCCATTTGTCTGGATTTTGTATTCAGATGCAACAGGTTTTCAGTTCCAAAGAACATGGCAGCCCCTCTCCATCCTGTTGAAATTGGAGGACGTCTATTGAGTGTCGGGTACTGGCCCCGCATGCCTCCAGCGTTGAAGCATCAGCCTTGGCGCTGCTGCGCAAGCCGGCCGGCGGACATGCCCAGTGTATTCGAATAGTTCAGCTTGCCTCAAAAGAAGCACCTAGTTACCTAGCCGCCTAGCCCATACATTTCATTAAGAGGCTGCCTACTAAGTAAGAGCGGACCAAAGAAAAAATGCCTACTACGTAAGAGCGGGCGCGGGCCATTAAGGGGCTACCCACTAAGCAAGAGCGGTCCATCGTATTGCATACTGTGCTGTTTTTAGCGGCTTTCTCTGGGTGATGGCCATGGCCATGGTTCGAAGTGTTTGGAAGTTCGCTGTGGTTTCTCCGTTCGCTAAGCACCCCAAACTCGACGAGCACCAATCCCAGCCCCACACATGTCCGCCACAGCTCAACGGTCAGCGGTTAGTCCCACTGATTTTACGGTCAAAGACCAAAGAGTGTGTACGGTGGTGATACACCAAGCGTTTGGAAGATGCACCGGTGGCACACCAAAGGAACAAATTTGACAATGCAACCAAATTACAACATGTTAGAGGAATGCCGGAAATTCGAAGCCCCTGATTTGATTCCCTCTTTCTGCGTGAAAACTAGCGTTCCCTCTTTGCGCAGCTTTTTGAAGCAGCGCACCAGCAGAACTGGGCGCAGCTGCGCAGCTGGGACAGTTTACATGGGATGATTGGCCAAGGATGGGCCCGATTCTATTTCGCCCGATGAAATACAGGGCATGCCGGGATTCATCTGCATGCGGTGGTCATAAAAACATCTCTGTCTTCAATTGCGGAGGGAAGAGAAGTAAAGGTTCCTTGTCGGGAGGGATCCCATCGGCAGCCCGAGTGTCCGACCTGCAACGGGGTGCGGAGGACACGTGTCACCGCCATGGCGTGGCCTCCGGAGCCAAGGCGAGGTCGAGTGCGACCTGCCGAGACTGCGACTGCTACTGCTCGGAAAGAGCGACAGGTTGACGGTGCGAACACGGACTTACAGATCTGGACTTGGCGAGATGGAACCACAAGAAAACTAGAATCTAGACATGTGGAAGATGAGAGACATTTCCTCCACTTTTGAACTTGGCAAATTCCCGAAATCTTCAAACATGCTTCTGGCACCACGGAAAGAGGTGAATCCTTACAGTGTGAAGGATGTTTCAGAGTGTTTGCCCTTCGGGTGCAACAAGACGGGTACTGCATGGTACCCGTCTTGCACCGAAGGGCAAGGCTAGCGGAACAGCTCTTGAGACCTGGGCAGTTACTTCCCAACAACCCTCAACCAAAGACCTGGCGGTGAGGGTGGTGGATTGTGGAGCGAGATCTCCGCGATGTTTCTGGTAAGTCTCGAGTCATGTTTCTGGTCCGGACCCCAAACACGGCTGTGTGAACACGGTTTGCCCTAAATCCCATGGTCAAATCCGTATCTTATACCTGAAACATGGCAAAACATAAAGAAACCATCGTCATTGTTGGAAACTGCTCCACCAACGAAATGCGTGGTCAGCTGCTCGCCTTGGCCGTCGGTCGGCGCCATGGCCAGCGAGAACAAAGAAGATGCGGAACAGCACCTTGGAAGGAAACAGTACCGCCCTGGATGCCTGGAACAAAGATTTGGGAATATCATGCATGAAAGGCTAATCATCATGTTCATGCAAAAGTGAAAGTGGACAGCTGCGACATCACGGCTACTCTCAGTATGGAGTTCTTTGCTCCTACAACTTGACGAGACAGGAACGGGATGTTGCGGTAGACGACGACCATGTGGCCATTCTCGATGCCTTGCCGACTTGCACGCTGCACCACTCGCAGCGACAGGAGAAACCAGAACATGTGTTGGGCATCCTGGATTGCTTCGAAACAGCATTTCCCACCAGCATCAGGTGAAAAAATCCGGGCTGAGTGTCTTGCGCATGAATCCAGGCTTTCCTGCCTAGAATCGAGGCTGGCTGGATCACAAGTCCTGGCTGCATGAAATCGATGAAAACAGGATGTCGATTTTTTGTGATTGGTTAGTGATATACGTGTCTTCAAGTTGATCGCTAGACTCGACTTTATCAACTTTCTTTCCTATACTTGATTCTGTCTTGAAGCATCCACTGTTCCATTACTTCTCATTTCCGGCAAACCTCTTGCCACTCATCTTCTCGCTGCTTTTGCAAAGCTTGGCTTGTGGGACCACCCTGCGTGCTCTTTGGAAACTTTGTTCTCGGGTAAGACATGGTCATGGTAAGACTTCAAAACCCCTGTGTGCTTCCTTTCATGTGATTGCAACAGAACGGAAGCTCTTTGGAAAGCAACCTTAATGCAAGAAAAACACGTGGCAAAAGTATGCAATCCTGACTTGTGTTAATCATGAGAAGTCTGCTCTTCGTTTAATACACATTGAATAGAAGGTTCAAGGTCTGTCTCTGGATTGCTCCGAGAGGTGTGGGAGCACTCCCGCTCAGACTCTTCGTTGGATGTTGGATTGGAGTCCCCAGTTGCGAGTCAACGCGTTTGCAAAAGAACCTAATAGCGTTCTTGCTCCTAGTAGCGATGTGCTCCTAAATGCATTCGGATGCATTCGGCTTGTTCCAGCATCTTGCTCTGAGCTTGCCCCAAAACATCTCCTGAAGAAGCTCACAAGGCATAGCGCTTGTGAAGGCGCTCTGGATTTGAGCCAACAAACGACACCATGGATTGCAGGTTGAACCGTTTCTGGGTGCAATGGCAGGTTTTTGTAATTTTGATAGAGCTTCCCTTTTCAACTCTGGAGATGAGCCTTTCTTCTTTGCCAATTCCAACACGTCACACCTTTCAATCTCCTTTGTCTCCTTCAATCTCACTCTCTTTACGCATGCCAAAGAACCTAAAACCCTAAACACCTCTGCGAAGCACTTCTTCTTTGGAACGAAGTGTCGTGTTCTCCGCGCGACGTCCGCGGAGTCTGCTGACCCCCTCCGGACGAAACTCGCCACCTGCTCCACCGGTCCAACGCATGCGACTTCTTCCTCGCCGTGGGCGTCTCATGGCCTGTCGGACCACCAAGGCCTTTCGTTTCCTTCCTGACTAGAGGTGACACAAGTTGTGACGACATCTCTCAGAGATGACACAGTTGGACTGGACCCGCCGACCAGACCGGAGAGGACCCCTCTGAACAAAAGATCTTCAAAGCAAAGAGGTGTTTTTCGCTAAAACGATACAACTATCTTTGTTTGATCATTTTCCTTCATATTTCTTCTATCTAAGTTATCTAAGGGTCTTTTTTTTATGTTCCTGCATGAGGGGGCAGGTCAAGTCCTCCTCGATCGACCGGCGCTGCCCGGTTCCCAACTGTTGGAAAAGTCTGCCGGGCCCAAAGGAGCTTTGCCTTCAACCCTGGCAACGAGCAAAGTATTGGAGGGAGGGGAGTTTTGCGTTGGAAACATCTCATGTCACTTGGAGGTCTGCGTTCGAAGCAGAAATTCCTCTACTAGTTACTAGGCGGATGCGCAAGCATATCCCAGGTTTGGTTGATTGGTGAATCAAGTGACACATGCAAACCATCTTTTGCTTCTACTTTACATGGCCAAGCATGGTTCCAACGACCTGCAATTGCTCACGACCTAGAACCACTCTTGCATTCAATGGGTATATATCCAGACAATGCCATCGAAAAACACTCATCTAAGGTTGTGTCGAGCAATGGCAGTATCCTTGTATCTATGGCTGGCCCGACTCAAATCTATCCTGCAAAGAAACCCTCCAGACCTCCAGACCGTCCAGTGCCGCGTTGGCCAAAGACATGATGCCACCCCTCACTTTTGAGGACCCCAATGAAGCACTGTTGCATCTTGGCCTGGGCGGAGTTCGTGGTTCAAAGTTTGTGTTGTTGAGACATTGGAGTGTCAACGTCGGTGTGAAACGTGCACACTGGCAGCGGGGCCAAAAGGTTGTGTTCCTTGCCTGTGGTTGAGCAATATAAGGCGTTTGTGTTGGAAGTGAAGGTTAACAACACGTTCACCAGGCTTTTGGGAGTTGACATGTCTCATGACGACGGTGACGATCTTGGAGTAGGGACATCGCGCACCATCGAGAATACGTATTGCAAAGCCAAGGGTGTCCTTTTGTTTCGGCAAAGCAAAATGGCCACTTTCGTTTCGCGCGGTTTTCTTTCAGATTTGCACTCCATCGTCTTCGAGACACCGAGCCGATGAGAACGAAAACCATCGCGTTCGAACCGATGAAAAACATGACGTTCGAACCTATGCGGATACAGCATGAGGTCACTCGCTTGGTCACTCTTCCTTGGTCACTCTTGCTTGAGGTGTGTGATCCAAACATGTATAGTCTAGTCGACTTAGTGATCTTTCAGTGGATTTCCTCAGCTAGGTTGTCCTACTTGGTGCATTTGCTCCTTCAATGGTCCCTCTAGTCCATCCGATTTCTCGGCCTAGGCACATCCACGGTTCTCCTTCCGGCAGCACCAGTCCTTCTTCCCTGGTGACCAACCCACTTGCCACTGCTCCCAACCAGCATTGCCTGAGTGGCCCAAGGCCTGATATTTTTTGAGCCAATAAGTATCATGGAAAGCTGGAAAGCAAAAAAACGGCCTCCGTGTCTTCACGTGCCTTCATGTGTCTTCCTTCAAGACAGAACATATATAAATCACTTGGCGTATTAACTCAGTACAAACCTGAACAAATGACGAAAACAAAAAGTCGACGAGAATCAACTCGTGTGACCCTCAGCCTTTCATCAAAACACAATGAATCCCACAGAACCACAATGATCTCAACCACATGACATCACTCAACCAGAGCAATGTAAAAGTCTCTGCCGTGGTGCAGTCATAGACCTTCTCCACCGCCTCGGCCCCACAGCCCAAGCGCGAATGCTCACAGCACCAGCGGCGTTGGCTGCCGGGCCATGTGCTCGGGTCACCTGGCTCAGACCGAGCACCGAAAAGACCATCGGAAAGCAACGCCAAAGCGGTTTGGACCATCGGGTGAAATCCAGGTCGACCGACGACGGCCAAGAACGAACTCAACTCGGCGGACGGTCAGACCATTATACGAATGGTCGACTGGACTCCCAGCGCAAATAAACAATTTATATAGTTGTTCAATACCATCCTGCTGAGGGCCCTATGGCGGTGCTACGATAGCCATGAGGCCAGATACTCAAACAATGGAAAAGCCAGACTCATAGAGGTGTATTACTCCTTCTTTTCATACAGCTTGCACCGTCCGGGGATGACTCGCTCTCCGAAGAAAGGCACTCCGCTCTTGAACGAGAAGTGACGGCCTCCACAACTGAAGGGACATCCAAGTCCAAAGTGCTTGCAGCAATACCTTGGCGAGATTGAACCGAGCAAGACGAGCACTTGGCAGCTTTTCGAACGTGTTACGAGTAAGAGCAGTTTCTCACAAATTGATAAAAGACAAACTTGGCAGCTTGATAAATTTAACTTGCCGCAAAATGGCAACGTGAACCCGACAAAAACATCGAATCCTCAGTTTTGGCTGGTGAATCGAAGCGGTAAAACCAGCTGCATTGACTGAGCAGTGCTCCAGCTTGTCCTCCATCTGGATCCAGCGTTGTGGCCTAAGAGTCAGCAAGCATCGCATCGCTTTGACTTGGGTTTGGACGCTTGGAAAAGGGAAACCTCCGCGGCTTTTTGTTGAACCAAAATGACGGGTCACTGCTGTCACTGCTGTCCCAATCGGATGCCCAAGGGCAGGTCAGACCGTCTGCAAAGTGTCATGGTTTGTCTGTGCGATATCGTGTTGGAACCCCTAGTCAGCCAAGGCACAGTGGAATCCAGCTGCATCCACCGTGTGGTACTCCGAGTGGAATGCAGGTGTCAGCTCAGTGTGTGCTGTAGTCACTACCCTGTCCTGAGGATGATCAGCTACGACTTGATGTCGAGTGAAGCCAGGAGTAAGCTCGGTATGTCGAGTGACCACCACACGATCCTGAGGCGCTCCAGCCACCACAGCGTGCACCACATGAGGACCCTCAGTGTGGTGGAAGCCCGGAGTCAGCTCCGTGTGCTGGGTCACCACCACACGGTCTTGTGGGTTCTGCGGGTTCACGACCACGCTCGGACCGTGGGTTCTCCAGCCCGGAGTGTACACGGTATGCTTCGTGACCTTCACGAAATCGTGGTGCATGTGATGATGCTCACAGGCCCGCTTGGTCTTTTCACAACACCACGCTTTCTTGGCGAAGCTCCACCTCAGGAAACGAAAGGGTTTCACCCATCCCACTGAGCACTTCAGTCACAATGTCTACCTAGCAGGGGCCCTACAAACCATCAAAAACCTGGTTTTCCCATGCTTTCCCTAGCATGGTTTCTGTATGCAATTCTCCATTCTTTTTCGCAGGTTTGAGGGCCGCTAGTAGCAACACTACTCAAATTTGTCTAGTCAGGTACAACAGTGTCCTTCAGCTGTTGATCACAGGAAGTTCCGGAAAGCAAAAGCGGACTTTCTTGACTTGTTGCCCGTGGCTTTCCAGCCAAGCTACTGCTTCTTCCATTCTTCAAAGTTCTCGTTGCAGTCGAAGGGATCGCAGGCACGTTCCTGAGATGCGAGGCTTCCGAACGCGTTTCTCGCGAACGCGTTTAAATCTTGCGGCTTCTTTTTTCATGGATCGGATTGGTAGGAGATATATCACCAGTACCCTGGGAGTCCAGTCGACTATCATAACAATGGTGAAAACTCGGTGACCCGAGTGAAAAGGAATATGCTATACCCACAGTCGGTCAAAATATCGTCGAACTGGACTTCTAGGGAGTAGGGTGGAAGAATAGCTCTGAACCCATGTTCGCTCAGCGAAATGGCTTTGATGGGCGAAATCGTTGTGCTGATCAAACGGCACCCGAGGAACTCAAACTCACCAACCTGTCGTGCTTGCCTGTGCGATGGCGCTATCGCAGGCCATCTTGACTCTGGCAACTGTGCGGACCCCCTGGGTTGGCAACTAATAGGGATGGCCTCCAACCTACTAGCGATGGCCTCCAACCAAATAGCAATGGCCTCCAGCCTAAGAGCGTTGGCCTTCACCGTACGTAGTAGCAATGGCAACTATATACGTATTTTGTATGTGCTTGATCATGGATCAAATGTCTAGAAATTCGCGGTTCTGGAGACACACCCTCTCCCGCCCTAAAAAAAACGCGCGCGCCGGAGTCCGGGCGTCGTAATGAGCACAGCAATAATGCCGCTTGGGAGGTGACCAGGCCTCCCAGTGGCTGAAATGGCTCAGGCATTGGAAGGATTCCTCGACCGTCGCGGCAAGGACGTCGAGCGAGTCGTGCACCGACGAGGACGGAGGACGAGGACGTCGCTCCAAGGGTGGAAGACCAAGGGAATTCCGAAAGTCTTTTGCAGGTGAAGACTCCACAAACACCTCGAGAACCCTCCGGGAACCCTCCGGTTGGCATACGCAATGTTGGTAGGTCTTGCCCACAGCTTTAGAGCTCTTTCATGCCGTTTCCAGGTCATGATGGATTGCAAGCTGGGCTGTCGTCCACCTGCTCAGAAGCCCCGATCCCTGCGCTGAACGACTTCGCGCGCGTGTGAGATCTGAACGTGCCGACATGGTGACGGCGGCTCTCGTGATGGCCGACATTTCTGAGACGAGCCGCTGGTTTCTCCTTCGGTGGACATCCCATGCCGCTACCTCAGGCTGCGGTTGGAGTGCAAGTCTCACAACGGCCAAATGGCATCAAATGGCCATGTTTCGGTGGGGTAGCAGCAGAAGAAAACGCAGTTCCACGAGGCACGACAAGTGCAAGAAACATGCTAACCACTCCTGTATGACCTGAGGGTGCTTTCAGCCACCAGGGGCAGTTCCTATCGAATTATACCGAATCTTTCACTGTGCACAACTTAAGCAGAAGTGAAAGCATCAAACAGCTGAAACTATCTCCAGAAAAACTAGAGTTGGCCAAATGGATCAGCACATGGCCCGCATGACTTCATATTGCCTTCCCCCCCCGAAATCTTCAGCTTTGTAGGTACTTGGACCTTGGTCCCAATCGTTTTTGCCCACAGCTCTTTACAAGAACAAGGGATGAACAATTGATGAACATCACATCCTTCACACATCCACTTCAAACCTTCAGCCCTCGATCCCTCGTCTTTCCGACCACCATCGCAAGTCAGGCCATGAGACGCTTGCAGCAGTAGTCCTTCTTCTCGGCTGGCCACTTCACACTTCCCAATGACTCAGCAGCCAAGGGCACGCACGCGAGCGCGTGTGAGCGACCGGACACGTGACCGGCACAGGTCTGTTGCACGTTGGGCAAACACGCACTGGTTCCCGTGCGTGCTCCGTGCTCCGTCCCGTGCATCGCCCCGGTCGCCCGAAAGGGACTTTCCGAGCGAGAACCAGGGGGCGCCCCAAACCGGATCGGATCGGATGTGATGCTGAACATGCTGCTTCTGATTCTGAATGGAGTGAATGGAATCACCCTCAGGTTCTGAAGGGAGTTGTCTCCATCACCCATTACCCATCCATCCACCCATCTATTGGGGAACTCTGACACTCGTTGCGTTTCTTGCACGAACACCTGAATCCCATGCGACCCGTCTTGATGTTCCCGGTCCCTGTCGCCACTAAGAACATCGGATGAAATAAAAACACAAACGTCATGACGAACTGATGCCTTTTATACCCCAGACACGACGACCCATGGGACTGCCAGTTGGGGTGGTGCCATGGGGGTCAATGGGGCGGCAGTCCTATGGCAGTCCCAGACAAGTCGTGTCTGGGTACTTTTGGCTTCTGTAAACATCAAGCTACTCACCATTTTACTTTTGTCCTGTGACGGGGACCCGCAACCTGCCCGACCCTGGTCGGGTGAAAAGCCGGCTCTTCCCGCCTGAAGCCAAGGTGGCAGTCAAACGGTGTGCAAGCGCGCTCATAATTCCTGTGGCAGGCGATCGCCCTTGCGATCTTTGGTCAACAAAAATGGTCAAATATTGAAATTCATAGAGCCCCAGAGCCAGGCCGGCAAGACTCGCATTTTGTTTCAGATCATTCTCCGCAGTTCTATCAAAGGTAAGGTGTCCTGATCTCCAAATCTCGACAATAAACATCTTTCCATCATCCTTGAAGGATTTATCCAGTGAGGCCTTACGATAAAAGATCGATAAAGATTCCCCCCAACATTCCAAAACCTTGAAGCAGGTTTTGAGCGAATTTGTTGCCGTTTTTCTTTTCACCGCACCCTGTCCTGCAGCACCAGTCCTTTCGACTTTGAGACCAGTCCAAGTCCCAGTTGGAGTACCTCACAGCATAGTTTGGCGTTCTTGGTTTAGGGTTGGTGTGTTTTTTTGGGTGCGCGTGATCTCTCCCTTTCACCCTTTTAACTGCCCCCCCCCCCCGCAGTCATGTCTTGCACCCAGTACGAGACGGAGGAAGTGTTTGAAGATTCCTCATCTGCCAACCTGCTGAACACCACGTCTGTTGTGCTGACCAAGTACCAAACGGGCAAAACTCGGAGAACCCAGGATGTCAGGACCGACTCACAAAAAACGGATGTCAGGATGTACCGGTGGGGGGTGAAGTTTCTGAGATCGTCTGGTCTGTGCAAATTAGAATAATGCTTACCTCGTCTCCCTCGTTTTGGAATTCGCAACCCGGGGTTTAGCACCTCGCCTCGTTATATACGGTTTGGAAAATATTGCCTCGCCTCGTTCGTTCCACATAGTTCCACCTCGTGCAGGAACTTAATTCTGAGGGGCTTGGCTTGGGTGATGACGGGCGTTTGGTAGTAGTAGTCGTCGTCGTCGTAGTAGTAGTCGTAGTAGTGGTGGTGGTAGTGGTAGTGGTAGTGGTAGTGGTAGTGGTAGTAGTAGTAAGTAGTAGCGACCAAGATGCCAGCGATAGAGGTATGACCAACGAATGATTG